GCTAACAGTCAGCTGAAGTGGCTGCAGTACTGCACCCTAACCACTGCGCCACCTCGGCTCCTGCAGTATATGCTAGTATACACTTTAGCTCCTCACTGCAACAACTATGGTAGAGATTTTTCATGTAGTCTATCCATAAGGTGAATAATTGACATATATTACTATGTAAGATCACTACCAAATGGAACAGGCTTTTGCCAGCGTCCCAAAAGACAAATGTACGGTAATATTTAAATCAGGTTTAACCTGCCTGAATTAACAAGTATAAAATAGAGGACCAGAGAAATATTTTAAATAACTACATTAAAAGATTTGTCTGACAAAGGCAAAAATCTGTCCAAGTACATCTATATTAAGACCAGCGCTATAACAAATCTAAGATTTCTGCCAAAGAAATCTTGGAATATATGGAATGGCTTTTATTGGTGATTTACTGGTTCTACGTGATAGCTACTAACCTATGGGAAAGGTGTATCCCTAATGGAAAATCTATCTTCCCTGTGATTGTCCTTGCTCATGTGTACTGGAGTCTTTTAAGAGTGAGTTCCTGTACAATCACAAGGAAGCTCTGGTGAATTAGGAATTGTGAAAGGCTATCTCCTGAATAGATACTGATTGCAAGAGATGTGCTGACAACTGATTGCCCATTGTGGGTGATGGGATGATTTCTTCTTGGTGAGTAAACAGAGATTGTAAGAGGAATATAAGGTAGACTAGTCCCAGGCAACAAGCTCACTGAGTGAATAAATACAGAAATAAAATAGGAATTTTAAAGACAGTCCCTAAAAATGTTGTAAATCACAGATTAAGTATTTGACTAATATGAGATTCTGAGGAAGGAAGAAGAAAAAGAAGAAGAAGAAAAATGGTGACTTTCAATACTTCTGGCATAGAAGTATTCCCTTCCAACTCTGCCATACTGTTATTCTTACATAAACAACCAGAGATATTGCAACCTGTTGGAAAAAGTACTACAGAATGAAAGACAAGTCATTCTGTCTCGCCACTTAACTGCGTAAGTGGAAGAAGCCACATTGTGTCTATGACAGTGTTTTTCAACCACTGTGCCGCGGCACACTAGTGTGCCGTGACATAGTGTAAGGTGTGCCGTGGGAAAATTACTTTATATATAGTCAATA